CTGCTGCTTTCACTCCTCCTTTCTGCCCTGTTCACCCTGGCTGCTTTGCCTTTGCTTCTGATTTGTGGTTTGTTGGGGGTTTTCACACCTTGTGCCTTCAAGGGCAGACTCTCCAGACTCCCTGTGCTGAGACCAGTTCTATGGGCTGCTGTCCACCTGTGCCTCTTGGCCACTAGCCCTTCCTAGTGCTGCTTGTCCTGTGAAACTCAGAGCACCTATAACAGACTCCAGCAGTTTGTTACCTAGATTGTCCATCACTTTGTGTGTGTGTGTGTGTGTGTACACGTACGTATGTACTTGGGCTTGAACTCAGGACCTAGATGCTGTCCCCTAGCTTGTTTTCATTCAAGACTTGCATTCTGCCACTTGTGCCACAGCTCTATTTCTGCTTTTTGGTACTTAATTGGAGATAAAGAGTCTCATGGATTTTCCTGCCCGGGCTGACTTCAAACTGTGATCCTCCCATCTCAGCCTTCTGGGTAGCTAGGAGTATAGGCATGAGCCATCAATGGTTGGCTAGAAATACATTTGAGTCACGAGACCTGTGGGCCCATTTAATTTCTGCTGCAGAACTTGGCAGTGGCCTTAGCTGTCCCGGAGGCAGATGCTGCCGAGCCAGATGAAGTCAGACTTGCTGGTTGCACTGGTGCGTGTACCTCTGATTGCTTACCTGTGGAAGGGCAGTGCTGGCGCTGCATCCCCAGGCTCTTCTTCCATGTCTTATGGCGTGACCCTTGCCAAGGGAACTGTAGGCTTCTGGGACAATGCACATTGCAGCAGGGAGGGGATTTTCTTAATCATGCATCTTTTCTTTTCTCCCAGGGTATGTAATTTGAGACATCTGCAGTCATTGAGCTTGGAGCTCAATGATAGTTGACATTTTTCTTTTTTCTTTTTCTTTTTTTTTTTGTGTGTGTGTGTGTGGTACTAACTTTTGAACTCAGTGAAGTGTTTTGTTGCCATTTGAATCCTTCACCTCAAGTCTTCAGCCCAGGACCTTTTTCTTGGTTTATATTCCTTGTGCACCCGGGAAGTCATAGGCATCAGGAGATCGCGTCTGCCCTCTGTGGTTTTGGTTTCCTCCCTTTGAATGTGCATCTGACCTTGTTCAGAATTAAAGTATCTAGAAAAGCGCTCAGGCAGGGAGGAGATGCTCGTGGGTTTAGGAGCCCACACTGCCTGCGGGGCATCTGAGTGCTCTCTGTCCCTTTATGGGGCAACAAGAGCTCATGGCCAGACATGATACATGGTGCTTTTCAAGCCAAGCCAGAGAGATGATCCTCTGTTTATGGGCCCCATTGTCAAGGTAGGTGTCTTCCTCCTAAAAGTTCATGAGAGAGGCTGGGAAGGTGGCTTAGTGGTACAGTGCTTGCCTTGTATGCATGAGGCCCTGGGTTTGATTCCTCAGCATCACATAAGCAGAAAAAAGCCAGAAGTGGTGCTATGGCTCAAGTGGTAGAGCCCTAGCTTTGAGCTGAAGAGCTGAGGGACAGTGCCCAGGGACAGCGCCCAGGCCCAGAGTTCAGGCCCCACAACTGACAAAGCAAAAAAGTTCATGAGACCTGCCATGCCCACTAGAGTCTCAACAAGTGGCTGTAAGGCCCTGAGACTCTGTGACAGTAACAAAATTCGATAGATTAGCAACGATGTCTCAAAGGCCAAGTCAGTGAAACCATCCCAGAGCAACAGTCTGGGTTGTAGGAACCAGCACATCAACCCCGAGGATGGGGTGGATGGCACTGAGGTCTCAGTTTGGCCTGGATAGCATCTAGGGCACCCCTTACTGTCTGCAAGGTGGAAGCTGCTAAGAGGGGGCTCCCCCGTTCTGTCATATTGATGACTTGGTTGGCACTTCCAGTCACCCTGAATGTGATGGATGATGGTTCTCATGCTGGCAACCAGGTGATGTCCATGGGCCTGCTGTGGCATGGCCAGGTGCATGCAGCTGGAGAGGGGGTGCTGGAAAGTGCAGCGTGTGTGTGTGTGTGTGTGTGTGTGTGTGTGTGTGTGTGAAAGAGAGAGAGGAGTTGTGTGTGGGGACAGCTACACTGCTAAGCTTGTCACTGGCACAGATGTGCCTATGTCCGCCTAGAATTGGGTGGACTACACTTTAACCTCCTATAGTCCCAGCAGGTACATTTTCCTTGGTCAGCACCTGTACAAACCCTTTATCACAGGCTGAAGTGTCCATCAAGAATCCTGTGGAAGCCAGGCACTGGTGGCTCATGCCTGTAATCCTAGCTACTGTGAAGGCTGAGATCTGAGGATTGCGGTTCAAAGATAGCCCAGGCAGGAAAGTCTGTGAGACTCTTTTATCTCCAACTAAGTACCAAAAAATTGGAAGTGGAGCTGTGGCTCAAGTGGTAGAACGCTATCCATGAGCAAAAATAGCTCAGGGACAGTGCTTAGGCCCTGAGTTCAAGCCCCAGGACCAGTACCAAAAAAAAAAAAAAGTCCTGTTGAGAATATCCTTTTAGCAAGGGGTTGGTCTTGGCGATCAGTGCAAGCAGATTGCCAAGGCTGTAGAAGAGGACTTGGCACCTACTGCCTGATAGAGCCAGCAAGTTAGCTCTGACCTCTATTTCTGAGTCAAAGCTGCTCCAGACCAATGCGAAGCCTTCAGGGGTTTACGTCACTCTGGAAAGAAGGCAGGTGCTTTCTTGGCCAACCCGGTGGGAGAGCTCTGCTCTGGACCCATCCAGACAGGTCCTTTTGGCAGTCAGAACTAGTCCCAGCCCAGCCAGCTCTTTAGTCAGAGCAGCTGCGCAGCACGGAGTTGAGAAATGCCTTAGTTGAGGAAGCTCAGGCTCAGTTAGGCCAGTTAGACCTCTGCCTCAGACACACAGACACGCAGGACAGTAGACCAGTCCTTGGGTCCTTTGGGTAGGTAACTGTTTTCCCCTGCTCCTAGGTGTTACTCATTCCTTCGTTAAAACTCGTTGGAGCCAAGGCTGCAGTATAGAAACCCTAAGATTGAAATCTGGAACCACAAGAATAATTTTTCTCATTTCGCAGCAGGTGTTTATGGGGCCATTCATACCTACAGTGCCGTCCCCAACACTGTCGATAGGCAAGATACCCAGGGGTTTTTAATACACCCACTAAAAACCTATTCAATATTTACCAAACGGAGAAAACAAAGACACAAAAAATCATCATGTTGGCCTAGGACAGTACATCTGGTTTTACTTATTTGAAAGTTCTGCACAATCTTCTTGACTGAAGTTTTGGTCTTGAATTTTGCTGAGATTCTGAAGAGCTTTGAACAGCCCTGCTGGGGCTTACGCTTTTGCCAGCACGCTGGCTTCGAATGGGAAGTCTAGGGACCCCAACTCACATGAGGACTTCTTGCAGCTTTATGGAGGGGAGAATGAGACACCGGCATCCTCCTCACCCCCCTGCCGCCATCGGGGATGGTGTCACACCGGGCTGGCATCCAGCCAGCTGCCAGGGGAACTTACTTTCTACATCTGCCAGTGACAGGGTGTTTAGAGGAATCTGAGCTAGCTTTACCACTAAAAACCCCTTTCCCTAAAAGATCCACGCTTACAGGCACCATATATATATACACACACACACATATATATACACACACACACTATGTGTCTATATGTATATGTACGTATATCTATCTATCTATCTATATATATATGTGCTATGTGTATGTATCTATATATTTGTGCTGGTCTGTGGCTTGAGCTCAGTGCCTGGAGGCTGTCCCTAAGCTGCTTTTGCTCAAGATTAGTGCTCTACTACTTGCCACAGCTCTACTTCTAGCTTTTTGGTGGTAATTGGAGAAGAGTCTCATGGACTCTCTAGCCCAGGCTGGCATTGGACTGTGGTCTTCAGATTTTGGCCTCCTGCATAGTTAGTATTAGAGGCATGAGCCACCAGCACCTGGAAGTATTGTTTCATTTTAAAATTAGTGCCTCAAGTTCCCTTTGTTCCATTGTGTTTTTATTATCCAAACAAGAGTAAAGATAAAAAACAGAAGTATTTTTGGTTTCTCCATGTTTTGGTTTCTCCATCTCATTTTTCATTTTTTTCTAATCCTAGTATATATATAAATTCTATTTCCATTTTTCCCCCTTCGTGTTTTGAAATTCTGACTTAATCGTTTTTATTATTTGTCATGACTGTCTTTTGAAGTGATGGGCTATGTTTTTCTTATGGATTGGGGATTTTGGTTTACATGTCTATAAGATCATTATAAATTCTTTTCTTTCCATTTTCTTCTTTTCATGTGAGAAACTTCTAGGCATAGACTGCTGGGTCAGTGGGGTTTGACGTATGCCTGCAAAAACTTGACCCTTTCAGTGGAGATAAGGCTTGGCCTAGCTTGACCATGCTATTCTACTATCGAGCCTTAGCCCCAGCCCGCTTGCCTCGAGCTCTCTCCCTCCCTCCCTCCCTCCCTCCTTCCCTTCCTTCCTTCCTTCTTTCCTTCCTTCCTTCCTCCTTCCCTCCCCTTTTCTTCCCTTTTCTCTTTTCTTTTCTTCTTTCTCTCTTTTTTCTTTCCTTCCTGCCCTTCCTCCCTTCCTTTTGTGTCTGGGCTTCTTGCTCTTCCTTAGCTTTTTTGCTCAAGGCTAGTGCTCTACCACTTGAACCATACCTCCACCTCTGGCATTTTGCTTGTTAACTGTAGATAAGAGTCTCACATTTTCCTCTCCCAGCTGATCTCAGCTTCCTGATTAGATAGGATTACAGGCATTACTCTGCTTTCTTTTTTTTTTTTTTTGCTGACAGAGATAGACAAGAATGTTTGACCATCAAAATAACAGTGAAACCAGATGTTTTTCTTTTGTCATTTACAGTTTCCACAATGGTCTCATATGCAGCATCTCAGTTAGTGTTCTTAATCCTCAGTGAGCACTGGGGTAAGGATGCTCACTGTCTCCACTTCAGAAAATGAAATGGATTGGAGAGTTGAAGGCTATTGATTGGTCTGGGTGTTCTAGGGGCCCATTCTGACCACTGGCTGCCTCTCTTTCTCTACCTAGTACTTTGGCAGCCCAAGGTCTGTCACCTCACGGTGTGACTTGAAGGCAAACCTCATCCGAAACGGCTGTGATGGTGAAATCGAGAGCCCGGCCAGTAGCACCCATATCCGGCGGAGCCTGCCACTCAGCAACAAAGGCTCCAGCACCATGGGCTCCGACGTCATCCAGATGATGCCACAGGAAGTCGCCCTAAACCTTCGGCCTGGTGAGTCTCCTGAGTCCTTCCCAGTGGGCTGGATGCTGTGTGTTCAGGGATGTCTTCAGGGAGTGAACCATGTTAACTTGGAAATGAGCCAGATCAGGCTGAGGGAGATCAGATCAGAGCTAGGAGATGCTATGGGAGACAAGGCTCAGACCGCAGGAAGCAGAGGATGAAGGGAATAGCTTTGCTATCTATCTATCTATCTATCTATCTATCTATCTATCTATCTATCCATATTCTAGCAGTACTGGAGTTTGAATTCAGTGCCTCATGTTTGACAAACATTGCTGTACCACTCGAGCCACACCTCCAGCCCTGTATTTCCCTTGGTTATTTTTTGAGAGAGGATCTTGCTTACCACCTAGGTAGAAACCTAAGCATGCCTACGCCACTTACTTTTCAGCTTCCCATCATTGCTGGGATGTCAGGCACACACCAGTGTCCAGCTTATCTCTGTGGAGATAGCCTCATAGCCTTTTCTGCCTGCGTTGGCCCGGCACTGTGTTCCTGCCAGTCTCGGCTTTCCATGTATCCTGGGATGACAAGCCCCTGCAACTGTGTGTAGTAGTCAGTGGAGAAGGGGTCTCAAAGACTTTCCTACTTGAGCTGGCCACTAGCCACAATCAATCCTTCAGATCTCAGCTTCCCAAGTAGTATGGCAGGTATGAGCCACCAGCCCCTACTTTTCCGTGCTATTTAAAAAAAACATGTGGTGGGGTAATTTCCTGGCAGGTAAGAGACTCTGAGTTTAATCCTTAGCTCTGCTAAAATCAAGCCAAAACAAATAGCCACAACAACAGAAACTCAAAATTATGGTAGAAGATCTAAAACATAAAATTTAAAATATTCTAACCAGCTTAAGTATCCAGTCTACTGTGCTACGTCATCTCCATTACCTACCTCCAGAACTTTCCCTTCATCTCATGCAGAACTCTAACCATTGGATCATAGCTCCTCTTTCCCTTAGAGTAGATGGTGGTAATACACGGAAACGAACCACTTTTGTACTCCCACTATTTGTTGAATGCCTGTGGTTCCCAGGGAGCTAATCCTATTATGTACTTAGGGAACATGTATAAGTGCACGTGGGGTTTGATCCTACACCTCTGGAACCACAGGCCCCTGGTGGGTCCTCGCTGGTGACTGTCATTGAATTCTGTGCTGCACATCACGTCCGCTGTCAAGGGCAACTGTGGGTATGGATCGACTGGAGAGCAGCACATTTGGGACAAGGCAGATTTTTTTTTTCAAGTTTCATTGATCTTTTTTTAATTTTTGCTTTTTCATCTATCCCATTGTTTAGAGAGCTGATGGCATTAATGATTTCTAGATGGTTGTTTAGGATTTGGGACAGCTTGGAGCAGGCCTGGGTTCCAGCTCTAGATCTCTGCTTAGCTTGGGGGCTCTGGGTAGGCTATTCTAACCCTTGGAATCTAAAGGTTTTGCAACCCACATTCTTCACGGGCACACGCAGAAGCTTATGTGACTTTGTTGTTTTTTTTTTTTTTTTGGGTCCGGTAGTGGGGCCTGAACTCTGGGCCTGGGCGCTGTCCCTCAGCTCTTCAGCTCAAGGCTAGCGCTCTACCACTTGAGCCACAGCGCCACTTCTGGCTTTTTCCTTTTGTTTATGTGGTGCTGAGGAATCGAACCGAGGGCCTCAGGCATGCAAGGCAAGCGCTCTACCACTGAGCCATCTTCCCAGCCCCGTGACTTTGTTATTGTCAGTGTCCATGTGGGTGTGGGGCTCACTGGATGGGATGCAGTGGGGTGCACATGGTGGACACTCTGTAAAGCTCCTTGTTGTTGTAGCTATTGTTATTACTGTACAGTTCTGGCCCTTCCTCCCTCCCGTCTCTTCCTTCCTATGTGCTGGTCCAAGAGCTTAAATTTAGGGCCTAGACAGTGTCCTTAAGCCTTTTTGTTTGTCCAAAGTAGGTGCTCTACCACTTGTACCACAGATCTACTTCTGGTTTTTTGGTAGTTAATGGGAACTAAGAGTCTCACAGACTTACCTGCCTGAGCAAACTTTGAACCATGATCTTAAATCTCAGCCTCCTGAGTAGCTGCGATTACAAGTATGAGCCACCAGTGCCCAGCGCATATATTAATTTCAAGAATGAACTCTGAGAAATGTGATTTTTTTTTAGAAATGGCTGATCTTGCCTGTTTGGATGATCATAAAACTAAAAAAACCAAAGAAGGGTATAATTAGGTTCTGCTAAGTAGAAAAGCCCAACAAAGTATTGGAAGGTAGCCATACCTCCTGCTAAGTAAGCTGCATGGTACAGTTTCCAGGCTTGGAAATATCGTGGAAACACGATCCTGTGCTTTCCACAGTGTGGTGCTGTGTGCAGGTCAGTCTTGTGTGAGCTTGGCCTGGAGACCCAGTGCTGGAGGCCCAGAGACAGAGGTGCTAATTTGACCAATCCTGTGAAGACATGCCCAAATCACGGCTCCTTTTGGCCTATAGACATGAAGACCCCAGGAGAGCTGCTGAAATGGGAATTCTTTTTTTTTTTTTTTGTATTTTTTTTTTTCCCTGTTGGTCGTGGGGCCTGAACTCTGGGCCTGGTCACTGTCTCTCAGCTCCTTAGCTCAAGGCTAGCACTCTACCACGTGAGCCACAGCGCCACTCCCAGCCTTTTCTGCTTCTGTGGTGCTGAGAACCATGCATTTAAGGCAAGCACTCTACCACTGAGCCACCTTCCCAGCCCACGGAATTCTTTTTATTAAGTGGTTGTACTTGTAATTCCATAAGTCAGATTATGAGTACAATACTTCTTGGCCAGTGGCACCCTTTCTGTAATCTTCCCCCATTTCCCCCTCCAATCCCTCCCTTAGATTACATAGTTCAACTTTTATATAATGTACATTGAATATAATGACTGCATTTGCTCCCCCTCTCTCCATTCCCATCTCTTCCCACCCCCATGGCTGTCTCCCTCCAAAACATGTTTCCACTTCCTGGTTTTAATTTTGTTAACCAGTTCATTCATTAGTTGTTCACAGGAGTTACACCTTTGGACTCCTCCCCCAAGCATACCATCCTTTAGTCAGTTTGTGTGTACACACAAAAACCTTGTATATGTTATTGCTAGCTTCCACATATGAGAGAAAACATGTGCGTCACTTAAAGTAATTTTTTTTCTAGCTGGGCACTGGTGGCTCACGCCTGTAATCCTAGCTGCTCAGGAGGCTGAGATCTGAGGATTACGGTTCAAAGCCAGACCAGGCAGGAAAGTCCATGAGACTCTTATCTCCAATAAACGACTAGAAAACAGGAAGTGGTGCTGTGGCTCAAGTGGTAGAGTGCTGGCCTTGAGCTGAAGAGTGCAGGGACAGCACCCAGACCCAGAGTTCAAGCCCCACGACCGACAAAAAAATAAAAAATAAAAAAAATTCTAGGTCTATGAAATGGGAATTTTTAAAAGTTCTAGAACTATTGTGGATATGTTTTTCTTTTAAAATTGTTACGATAAAGGTGCTGTACAGAAGGACTTACAATTACTTAGGTCAGGTAAAGAGTGGACAGTGTCACCCCCCCCCCTTGCTCTTGTGAAATTTTTTTTTTTCAGTTGTGAGGCTTGAACTCAGGGCCTGGGCACTGTCCCTGGGCCTCTTTGTGCTCAAGGCTAGTGCTCTTATCACTTGAGTCACTTCACCACTTCCTGTTTTTTGAGTGGAGATCAGAATCTTACAGGGACTTCTGGCTTCAAACTGCAATCCTCAGATCTCAGCCTCCTGAGTAGCTAGGATTACAGGTGTGAGCTGCTGACCCCTGACTTGCGAATATATTTTAAAATATAGAAATACTCAAAATCAATAGTGTTTTTTGTTTGTTTTGCCAGTCCTGGGGCTTGAACTTAGGGCCTGGGCACTGTCCTTGAACTTCTTTTGCTCAAGGCTAGCATTCTACCACTTGAGCCACAGCACCATTTTGGGCTTTTTCTGTTTATGTGGTACTGAGGAATCAAACCCAGGGCTTCATGCATGCTTGGCAAGCACTCTACCACTAAGCCACATTTCTAGCCCCCCAATAGTGTTTCTTAAAATTGAAAATAATCATTTTTAATATTTATAAACTGGAGCACAGGCACATGTCTGTGTTAATGGAGAAAGGTTAAGGTGAAGGGAAAGTGGTATGCTGCAGTTAGCAAGAATTTCAGTTTACCAACTGTGAACTTCACCTCAGGGAAATTCCCTGATTCTGAGGAGCTGGAGTGAAGGGATTGCTTTTCTCATGGTAGACTTTCAGAAGTGCTTTTATGTCCTCTCCCTTGCCCCTTCCCCCATGCCTCATAATTGGTGTTTGTGGAGTGAAATAGAACACTTGCCAGCCTCAAAGACTAATCAGGGACAAGCCTCAGCATAACATGAGAGATGTATCCAGAAGGCTAAATCGCCATCCCAGGGTAAGGCTGAAGACAAGAAAGGAGAGAAAGTAGGAAAGGAAGGAAAAGAAGGCAGGCAGGCAGAAAGGGACAGGGAGAGACAAAAGGGAGGAAAAGGGAGTCCTTTTTAAAATAATTTGTGTGTGTGTGCACATGTATGTATGTATGTATATATGTATGTGTGTTCTGGGACTTGAACTCTGGGCCTTACATTCTCTATTGATTTTTTTTTTCCCCATGGCTGGCCACCACTTGAGCCACAGCTGTACTTCTAGCTTTTTGCTGGTTACTTGGAAATAATAGTCTCACAGTTTTGTCTTCTCCAACTGGCTTTGAACCTTAATCCTCATATCTTAGCCTCCTGAGTAGTTAGGATTACAGATGTGAGCCATCAGGGCCTTGTTCCCTTTTTATTATTATTATTATTTTTTGGGTCCGGTCATGGGGCCTGTACTCTGGGCCTGGGCGCTATCCCTCAGCTCTTCAGCTCAAGGCTAGTGCTCTACCACTTGAGCCACAGCACCACTTCTGGCTTTTTTCTTTTTTCTTATGTGGTGCTGAGGAATCGAACCCAGGGCCTCAGTCATGCAAGGCAAGCGCTCTACCACTGAG